GAAGGACTTGGGAGTGTTGGTGGATAACAAGTTAACCATGAGTCAGCAATGTGTCCTAGTGGCCAAGAGGGGCAACATGAGGAAAAACTTCTTTATCATGAGGGTGACTGAGCACTGGAACAGGTTGCCCAAAGAGGTTGTAGGGTCTCCATCCTTGGAGATATTCAAAAGCTTCCTGGACACAATCCTTGGAGACATGCTAAGTGACTCTGCTTGAGCAAGGGGGTTGAACTAGATGATCTCCAGAGGTCACTTCCAACCTCGACCATTCTGTGATTAAATGCCCTCCAATGTTTTTATTTGGATATCCTGATCCTTTTTTTGTTGTTGAAGCTACTGCAGTTTTCTCTGTCAGTGGCTGGAGAAGGGATTCTAATATTCTATATATTGCATTTATATTACTTCTGTCTTTAAGACTGTATTAACCTTTGATAAACTTTGTTAAGCTTTGTTACTTTATTAATGAGGAGTGCATCCATCAGAAATATACTTTCTCCATTGTAAAATATGTAAGTCCACCTTACAAACCTTACTGTCTGGGGAATTTTTGACAATTGATCTCTCGTGTGTAGTTACCCCCATTGTGACATGTTCTTTTTTTGTTGTTGTTGTTGTTAAGGAGAAAATCATTAACATTTTGGAGCTCTAGAGAGTTTCTGATTTTCTAAAGCGTAGGTCCCTAGATAAGAGTATCTGCCAAAATACTTTCTCAGGATGAAGGTGTGTTTGTGCAGCAGATCAAGTTTAAGCATGTGTTACCAGGAGCAGAGTCCAGGACCTAGAGGAAGCATGCTAGTTGCTGGCATAGTCTAGAGCCTATGCTCTTGTATCTTTGGGGTTGGTCTCTTCTCCAAAATAACTACCAATAGGACCCAAGGAAGTGGCCTCAAGTTGCACCAGGGGAGGTTCAGGTTAGATATTAGGAAAAACTTCTACACAGGAAGAGCAGTCAAGCATTGGAACAGGCTGCCCAGGGAAGTGGTGGAGTCACCATCCCTGGGCTCCATGGGAGGCTCAATGATCTTGAAGGTCTTTTCCAAACATAATGATTCTTTGTCACCCCTGATTTCTGGGTGTAATTAACACAGGAATGTTAGCACATGCTTTAATCACAGCTTAATTTTGATGTATTATTGTGTGCCATATAATTTCTCTATCATTTGCAATTGATTTATAAATGAAAGGATGAATTTTCTATCTACTGACCACTTAATCACAGCCTGGGACTTTGCAGCCAAATGGAGCTTTTTTGTGTCTTCTGCTCGCTAATAAACATTTTGTGGACTAGTTTGTGTCCTTTCTGAACCTTGGGTAATTCATAATATTCAGCCATTTTCACATTCATAATTTGAATTATTTTGTGGAGGCAGAGCTTATTTGGAATATTTTGCACAGCTGCGGTATTTAATTCTATAGCAATAACAATGTTAACTCTGTTCTGAATAGAATAGTATCCATGTATAGACACCAATAGTAGCAAGGCTTTGATAAGAATATTTGTCTGTTGCTAGAAGAGAGAGTGCAAACTGTATTTCCAGTGTTTGAAAGTATTTAGAAACAGGAGAGAGTGTCCTTATTTCCCCTAAAAAGTTGTGAAGTAGGAGAAGTCAAAAGAACAAAGGGTAGAAGCAACCATGAGACTGTAGGTTTACAGGGATGAGCTCAGAAGTGATGGATAGATTGTACATATCAGTCTAAGCTCTGGCAAAATGGATAGGCCTCCAATCCATTGTTTCCCAAAATATATAGTGTGGAAAATTGCTGATCTACAAAATTCCATTAATAGCTCTAAAGGACCATGTAAAACATAAGGAGTTGGGAATTTGTTGTTGAAAAGTTTGGTAATGGTGGTCTGAGGTGTGTTAAGGATAGGTGGTGGTTGGTTGGTGCAAACCTATTATGTATGATTTTAATTTGTCATTTGTTAGAAAATTACTCTTTAAGGCTTGTGGATTTTTGGCTCTTCTTCCTTTTGAGTTGTAGCTGAAAGAGTGCTGCATTTCTTCCCTGGCAATATATAGCATCAATGTGAACAAGTACTGCTTTTTTGTGTGAATAAAAACAGTTTGCAAATCTTATTTTTTTTTTAATTTTGTCTAGTCATGAAATACTTTCTGCGTATCTAAAGAAAGGATAAGTCCTTGTTGCCTAAGATTGTATCTTCAACAGGCTGGCTGATTTTGGTGTTTTATAACTTTTATTTTATTCCAGCAGTGGAGAAAATTACAGAACATTTACAGCTTAGGAGAGCAGAGAAGATATAATATGCCAATTAAGAAATTCAAGATAAATGTTTCTTGGAAAAAAATCTTGCCTCTTTGCTTTTCCGTGTGAAAATAAAACCTCTTTTATATAAAATAGTGCAATGCAGAATAATGTGGATTTTCTCTATATGTTAAGTGTACTATAATCCACAGCCTGTGACGAAAGCTTGATTTAATTTTGTACAAATCGTGGTTTTCCTAATCTTCCTGTTAGATTCTTTGAGAGTCTTTGATACTTTAAAATGAGGGTTAGATGAGAATAATTTAATGTTTTGTATATGTATATGTTCTGTATATGTAAGAAGCAATTTGTGCTTATTTTATTGTAATTTAAAATATTCCATTTAAATTTGTTGCAAATTTTTGAGCCAGTTCCTCCTAGAAGAATCAATCAGGAAAATTCTGGGGATTTTTATCAAGTGGAAATGCAACAATTCCAGATTTGGGTAAAGTGTGGAAGCAATTTGTATTGCAGAGCAAGAACTGAGTTGGATAAATCATAAAATAATAATTTTAGGTTCAGGCAGAAATAGATTTATGTTAGATGCCTGCTTGGGACTATCTTGTTTTAGTGATACAGGTGAGAAACATTGAAATTTAAACTTTGAATTTAAAATGCATTTAAGAAAAAAAATGTATTTTAAAACATATGAGATTTCTGCTTACCTAAGGCCTGCATATGCTGTAGCATATTTGAATAAAATGGACAAATGCATAGATAGGGAAATATAAATTCTTGTTTACAAGATAAAGTGCAGTCTACCATGAAAAATGAGGGTGATACTTTGGAGCTATCTCTATTCATTGTAAGTGGTATCCACACTGTAATTATTTTTTCAGTTTGAAAATAAAAGGATATTTATTTTAATCTTATATATCATTACATAATAGAAATTTTTCAGGCCAAATCAGGTCTTAGACTTGCTTACTATTGCTTGTCCAGGACTTAATGAGAGAATAATATAAAAAAAAAATGATGTAGGAATCATGATACTTCAAATGCCTTCAAACTTTATGCCTTCAAACAACCTCAGTTAATACTGCCTTAACATACTTTATTATGCACAGTGTACTGTAAATAATTTTTAGGACTCATTAATGGCTGTGTTAGTTTTTTGTTTTGTTTTGTAAAATTCTGGATAAAATTTGAGGTTGCATGACACACTAGAAATGTTTTAACATATAAATCCTTTCAGGTTCAAAGACTAGAAGGAGCATATAAAGGACTGCAGTCATACCGTGCTTGTATCATCATGTTAATGTTGATTCTGTGATACCATGGGTCTTATTTGTGATATTCTAATAGGTGGGATAGTGATCTTTTGTAGCACCACCACGCTGTTGTAATTAGACTTTTTTACCACTTGAGGTCAGCAGCTGCTGAGAAAAGGAAGACAAAAACAATCCTGCCTTTTTGCAATCCATTTTTTACTTTATTTAGAATACTTAAATGAATACATTCTTCATACCCATACAAACGTTGTGGAAATGCAGAGGATTTATTTTGAATGAACAACAGCTTTGGCAAAAAAAAAAAAAAAAATCTTCCTTGTGAGCTATTATAGAGTGAATAGGTTTAGGTATGTTTATTGGCTTCCCAGGCAGCACTGGTAAATCATTCCTGCGAAGAATGATATTCTATACAGAGAGAAAGGCTTTCAGCGTTTTAGCTTTGTGTTAATACTAAATTACTGATGATATTAAATCAGAACAGAACAGTTCCCTTCAGGGAACAGTTTGACATCCACAAATAGCAGATTTCCTTCTTTGCAATAGTAATCAATGCGCTGTGAGGATGTGAGGAAGATGTTCCTCGGGTGATCCTCCCTCTTAACCTTTGCTTAAGCAAACAAACTAAAAAGGAGAGTAGGGAGTAGCTTGATGTCAAGGTTACTGTGCTGGGAGATGGGTAGCAGGGGGTTATTTCTTGATTCTCTCCTTGGCTTAATGTGGCTCATTTTTTTTGACTCAAGTCTCAATTTCTCATTTGTAACTCAAAATATGTTCACCTTTTTTTGTGAAGTTTTAGAGGATCTATGTTTTGTCATAGGATTTTTTGGTATGCTCTTTTAATGAGAAGGTCAACAGTGACATCACAGCTGAATTTTGGTGCTCAATAACAAGTGCCTCCTTCTCAGAAGTTCAGCATGTTGTTTCTTTTGAGAAGTCCATTATTACTTTTCTAGATACTTGTTTTAATGTTGCTAATAAACATAACCTGTACTTTAAATGTGATTTCAATAGTCTGAGGTTACCCCTATGCATAGTTGGTAGCAACTGATATTCCTGTCAGGCTTTTAATCAAAAAATTCCATTGCACCAGACAAATTTAACAAATTTTGATATAAACAAGCATCAAATCACTGATTAAAAAAAAAATGCAGCAGGAAAGATGTAGGTTAAGTATTAGGAAATCCTTTATAGCTGTAACAGTCAAAAGAACAAACTGCCAAATGAAGTTGGGTAATTGCCATCACCAGAGATTTTCCAGGCTATGAGTATGCATCTATTTAATAGGGATGGCTTAAAAATAATGCAGTCAGGCTTGGCACAATTGAGAGTTTAGACTGAATGACTTATTGCACACATGTTTTATACCAAATGCTTTTAAAAATTTCTTCCAAGTTTACCTTAATTAGGGAGAAGCAGCAGGAGTGTCAGCAAAAATGAGTAAAAACAAATTTCCTTTTCTCCTAATGTGCACCAAGACTACATGAAAGAAGAAACCAGACATAGTGAGAGGGAATAAAGCCTGGATTGATGTGACCTTTATTATTTTAACAGTGTCTTTCAGCACAATTACAGAGTTACAGGATTGCAGAGAACAGAGCTGGAGTATAAAATAACATAATTAAATAGAACAGGAGGCAAAGCAGTCAGCAGAAGGTGGTTGGAATTGGGCAGTGAAGAATGGATGAAGGGTTTGCATTGGTCAAAGCCTTTATAATTCAGCCACCATAGTTGCAAATTCTGGAGAAGGGAAAAATTATTTTAAAATAATGTTAAAAAAAAAGTAAAGAGCAAGCATATTACAATGATTACAGAATCACTAATGTAGCAGGAACATCACAATAGCAGAAGAAGGAAGAAATCCAAGGTAAAGGGAAAGTATAATTTAGAAATTCTTAGTGACATGAAAGGATTTTTTTGAGGGTAAGGAAGAAATTCCGTACATGGCAGACCATGAAGAGTGTCCGGAGTTGTTCATCTGAGGAACTTAATTAGTTCCCTGTAAATCTCACTGGGATAAAATCAAAAACTAGAAATTAAATTTTGTAGGGAAATAAATTTCCTTTATATTAGAGTTTGACAAAGACAGTCATTAACAAGTGTTTCAGAGTGCTTGTGTCCTAATATGGTAAATATGTTGCATTTAAGCTTGATTTTATAAAGGTAAAATGACTGAAAATGACAGATTGCAAAAACAGAAGGTTCATCTCTTTGCTACACAGTGATGTTGACCACACCGACGGTAATGGCAAAAATTCCTTTAATTTTAGAGGGCCAGGATTTTGCTTACTTTCCTCAGTGTTGTATCCGTAATACATAAACATTTGCAGTTTGGCATTATTCTGTGCTTTGGAATGTAGTGTGTCTTTCAACAGGACAATAAAGCATGGAGAGGGCACATCTGCATCTCAGTGAGTAGCTGCTTGGCATACTGCGTTCTGAATACTACATTGCCAAGGAAGTTAATTCCTGACTGTTTAGCCTTGGAGTAGTCACCCATGAGAAAACCTTGCGCAGTTGTGTGTGTGCGCCCCAGAGCATTAAAACTGACAAACTGGAGGGAATCCCAAGAAGGGCAAAAAAAAGAGATAAAAGGATTAGAGGATGTGTAGAGAGAGTGGTTTATGGGCTTAACGTAATCAGCTGAGAGAAAAATGACAGGAGGATGTAGTCATCTGTAGAGAGTTGAGAAAATTAGTGAGGTTTGATGTAATGAGAAGTAATGTCTTGCAACCAAGAAAAATATAAAGTTGTAAATTAGACATTTGTAAGAAAATTCTGATGTTCAACTGAAAAATGCTCAGCTCGGAAAAAAAATTGTTACCCTACTGAACCCTACTGTACCTTATGTTAGATGTATCCAAAAAAAACATTTTACCAAATCTTGACAAACCAGGCTGGGAAATAAAAAACGTCAGAGGATTTAAATTAAATCCACATTTGTCCATCATTTTGAAAGATGTAAATCCAAATTAGGATTAGTGGTGCAGAATACTTAACATGAAACATATATAAATCCTGGGTGTAGTGAGTACATAGATTGAGAGTGTTGCAAAATGAATTTAGGGGATGAAATGAAGCACTTGTGTTAAGAACCAAGAGTATTCTGGAAAGAAAATGCAAAAGGCTGTGATAATCAAGTGGCTGGGAATAAATCCTACAGAACAGAAACTCAAATGACAAATGGATGAAACCTTTCTAAAAGTAAAAAACAACTGCGTATTCTGTTAGAAGGTGTTGTTATAGTTGCTATAGCTTAATTGTAGTCCTTAGTCCTTTTTATAAGAAGTTTTGTCTATGGACAATTACTGTATTGGTAATATATTTCAGGGGTATTTCCTGATATCAGAAAAACTATAAGGTGACCTGTCATGAATAACTATTATACACATTATACTTTCTCCACTATTTTCAATGTGTGTGACAGATTTAAATATTTCAAGTACATACAAAACGAATAGCTTTCTAAAACTTATTCACTGTGTATCTTCACATAAAAGTTATGTAAAGTGATTATCGCACTGCACATGGCTTGGGGGAACATTGTTACAAACTTCACTGATACATGGAAAGCTTCTAATATAAAACACATGATATTGCTGCCTGTCTGTTGGTCATTCTTAGAAAATTGTTTTGCCTCTGAGTCACCTGTTAGTGTGATACTCCTTCTGATTGATTGTGCCCTCTGTAATTTCCCTTCCAAACTAAATTAAGTTATATCTATCTTGCACAAACTATAGTTTCCAATTACCAATTTCAATTCCCAATTACCAATTCCAATATGTAGTGGCTTAGTGATTTCTATGGTCAGATTTTGTTTTCTACATTTTTTTTTACACTAGAAAATCTCTTTCAGAAACTTAAATAATGATTTACACTAATCTGTTTTATAGCACAAGCAAAAACAAATATATAGGAGAAGGACTTCCAAAATATTTTTCATTTTTGTCATGACTTCTACTCATTTTGCAGTCCCTATTACGGTATTACTGAGAAAAAGAAAAAAAACACTGATATCAGGTTGTCTGCTATAAGCTTACTTACCTGAATCAATCTTTCTTCTGAAAATCATGCCCATTAATATGTCACTAATTTTAATGGGTATAAGAAGAACTCGTATAATAAATCATGTGAAAGTACCTCAAGTAAGGACACCTCCTAGGTTCAGTAATGCTGTTAAAGCTCAGCTTCAACCTCCCTAAATGATTCACAATTTCTCTTCTGCTAATGTGATATCATCATGGTCTGAGAACTTAAGAAGCTTTAGATTAGAAATAGGATCATAGTAACTGATATGCCAGTGTGCTAATATATCACCTGGCTAATGTGGCAGTGCATGATTTGGTTTGTCATTTCTTCAGATTCTAAACTAGGAGACTCCTAGCTGCCCTCATTCTTGCCTTTTTGTTCCCTTTATCTAGAGATACTTTTCTAATGCCCAGAAATCAGGCAACACAGAGAGGTATGAGTTTTTAGATGTTTTTGAATTTTAACCTAACATATGGCCTTTCCATTTGGTGGAAACTTAGAAAGTTGTTGTTGTTTAATGATGTCTACTGAGTTTTGTACTCTGACCACAAATGCCTGCTGCTGTCTCCTGCAGTGCTGCAGTGGGGAAAGATTTAATTCAGATGTGCATCTCTTGGTGACTCTTCCAGATTATTTCAGTGACATATTTTTCTATTTATCTTTTTGTTTTGTTGTCTTCTCTGTGTGGGCTAATTCACTTCCTCCCAAGGGGTAAAAGAAAACAGTATTTTTTTTTATTATTTTTTTTAGAAATGCTATGAGTGAAAATGTTCTTTTCCCAGAGAATGTGATAAGTTTTTTTTAGCTATGAAAACCCACATAAGCACTAGCAGAAGCTACCGAGCCATTGTAGAGAAGTTCCTTAGCCGGCTGACTGCACTTCAAATTCTAAGAACTTGCTTCCTAAATTGTCCAAAATCTTGCATCATTTTCCTATTTACCAAGCAGGTTGGTACTCAACAACATTTATTTATTATCCTTTTTTCTCCATGGGGATTTTGAGTCAATCTCAAGGTCCATGAGCTCCCAGTATCCTGATCCTCACTGTACTGAAGTCAACAGAACAAATTAAATGATTAAAGCATCATCAGGAGATTGAAGATCAGGAACTACCTCCTGTTCTGTATTGTGCCTTTACTGCATTTTGGGGTTTGTAAACTCTTGCCCCCTCTAGTGTCTGTTTCCCATGAAGTTTTCAAGCAAATGTAGCAAAACTTGGCTAAGCCCAAATTTTGCCCTTCAGGAGGTCACAGCTGTAGTGAGAGCCGTAGGTTTACTCATTCCTTGCATGTAAGAGTAACACTGAATTTCTGGTATAAAAGTTTTTTCCTTTAGTTACGTACCATCCATGCCAATTTTACCATCACCATCCTTATCTGCAGCAGCCATAAGAGCCTTTGTTTCTTTGTCTGAGAGGTCTCTGCTACTCGAAAGGAAGCCCTTCAGCATAAACCTAAGGAAAAGCCATAGAAAAAGGAAAAGTTTGTTAAGAACACTTTCACTTTGCATTTATTTGTACCTCTGTTTTAATATTTGAGAGGGGATCTAGGATTGATGCTTCTGCTGTTGGCCTTTAAAGTTCAGGAGGAAGGCTCTGCTCTGAAACTTCATCTGACTGAATAACTATCAGGAAAGTGTAAATCATTTGTATGTTTCAGACACTCTGCTGTAAAAGCTACACTTAGTTCTGACATACTTTAGATTATACAACTAGAAAGTAAATAATTATAGGAAAAACAAACAAACAACAACGACAGCAAAAACTGGTCAGAATAATTGTGTGTTATTAACTACTTTTTTAATAAAAAATACGAAATTAGACTCTTAAGATGAGGTTGAGAATTTTTTTTTAAACTTACTTTAATTCATCCTCTTCGATGAAGCCACTTCGATCCTTATCAAGAATGCGGAAAACCTTCTGCACTTCTTCCTGGCTCTTATTTTTCAGTCCTACCATCTCGAAAAACTTCTTGTGGTTGAAAGATTCAGCAGCTACAGGAGATGAAAATGCAGAGAATTGTTTAGAAAAATTATTGAAACATATACACGTACTCATACTTTTTTTCCCTATTTCTGCGTGTCCTACCCTGGAACACAAAACTGTTCAGAAGCTTAGCTGTGGTAGGAGCTGTAACAGCCCATGCCTCAAAGACATGGTAATTTAATGAACAACTGATGAGAGAGATACTGGGTGACGAGCTGAGCTACAAAGGAATGAAGACGCTTGCCCAAGGTCACACAGAAAGTCTGTGTGACAGAATTGGGGACTCAAGTCTAACAATGCCTTAACTGCAAGACTTTTTTTTTTCAGGTTAATGAAATGTTTTTGTGCTAAGAATATTCTCTTAAAGGTGACCCCTAGCTACTAGATTGTATGTAACACTCCCTGACATTTCCACTCATGAAAAAATTAAGCAAACAACATAAAAAGCAAAGCACGCTAGTCTTGCTCGACCACGGAGCCCCGCGTTGACGAGGGCTGTTCCGGAGCACCTGCGTGGCTCAGTTCCTTTCCGTGGCTCCTGGAGCCTTCCTAGACATCAGCACTGCCTTTCCACCGCTAAAGGCAGGTGCAGCTTCGCAAGCTCGGACGCGGCGGTGGAGAGCGCGCTGCTGCCTGCAAGCCTTGGAAGCAGGAGTCCAGGGCAGAGACAGGAGCCCTCGGCGCTAGAGGGGATGTGAACGAGCTTACCTGGTGCTCGACCTTTCTGTCCTTTAACCGCACCCGCCTTTGTCCCCACCCGCGCAGGGTTGTTAGAGCTGGAGAGATGTTAGCGAAATCCAGCGCAGTGACCTCCGAGACGTGCTGGGGGTTTTCATTTATTATTTATTTGCCTCCTTATTCCCGCCGTACCTTTTCCTACTGTATAAAACTCAGGCGACCCGGTCGTTCGGGGCGCTCTTGACTGAGGTCTGTGATGAGCGGCTGCTCTTCGCATCTGCTCCGGGGCTTCCCTAGGACAATGGAAGCTAACGAGGGGGAAAAAAGCTGCGGGATCGAGCAGGGCAGTTTGTTGCTCCTTATGACTCTCCGGCTGCTGAGCTTCCTTAGGCTGAGCTGACTTTGTGCTTTTGCCTGTTCGGGAAGGTCATCACGCAGACAAGGAGAGAAGGAGGCTGCTGTCCTGGGTGGTGGGACCAGGCAGGGAGCTTTAGCGGGGCTTGGGGAGCACAATTTCTGACTTTTCTTCGGGGCAACCTTAGTAAGTATTTGAAACTCTCCTAGCAGGGAGAGGGGTCGCGAGTGAAGGGGAGGGATAGGGAATATCCGACAGAGTGTCTACTGCAGCCATTTGTCCTGCATGAAGCTTCTGCAGTAGAGCAGGGCACTAACTTGCTTTACTGTTGTCCCCTGCTCTATCCCGAAAAGAAAAGAAAAGAAAAGAGAAAAAAAAAAGAAAGAAAAAAAAAGAAAGAAAAAGACCCGAGAAGCCCCCATGGAGGAAAAAGAAAAGAAAAAGAAAAAAAAAAAAAAAGAAAAGAAAAGAAAAAAAAAAAGCGGTTCTTACTTCCTTAAAAAGAGAAATAGTTCTGCAATACTTGAAACTGAATTTCTGGAGATTTGGAAGCTGCCGACGTCCTGGCTGACCACCCTGTCCCACATCAGGACAAAAGCCACCCTGGGGCGCCTGGAACTTTTCTCTCTTTTTAAGTATTCCGTTGCTAGTAGCAAGATCCGTCTGCAGTTACCTCTTCCTCTCCTTTAGGAAGAAGGAGCATTTCATCCCTGTAAGACACAGGGCAACTTCGCAGAGAATGCAGCCCTGCACTTGATAATCCCATCATGCTTTCACTGCACTTGCTCTTTTATTATTATTATTATTATTATCTGGCAAGGTCCTGTAATCTTCCCTCGGCTGAAATAAATGCACTTCTCTCCCTTGCTGAGGAGAGGGAGAAAGAAAAAAAAAAAGAAGAAAGAATGAAAGAAAAGAAAAAAAAAAAAAGCACTCACCTGTAAAGGCTTCCACTGCTTTCTTGATATCCTCAGCGCTGAGCACGTCAGTCATACTCATCTTGCAACTGTTTGAACAGGGAAGCAAGTGCGAACAGATTAAAAAGTGCTTTCCTCATCATT